TCTCTCTCCCTCAACCCTTGCCCTCCAATTACCCCCCTCACCCCCAGTTTGCTCATGTAGTTCTCATCCATTTCTCTGTCACTGCGTGATCCCTGTGTCATTCTTAGGGTCCTTTTTATTAGGTAGCCTTCCTGGAGTTGTGAGTTTCTGTCTGGTTATCCTTTGCTTTACATCTAGCTTATGAGTGAGTACATACCATGTTTGTCTTTCTGAGTCTGGGTTACCTCACTCAGGATGATATTTTCTAGTTCCATCCATTGGCCTGCAAACCTCATGATGCCATTGTTTTTCTCTGCTGAGTAGTACTCAATTTGGATATATGTACAACATTTTATTTATCCATTCTTCAGTTGAAGGGCATCTAGGTTGTTTCCAGGTTCTGACTATTACAAATAATGCTGATATGAACATAGTTGAGCATGTGTCCTTATGGTATGATTGAGCATTCCTTGGGTATTTGCCCAAGAGTGGTATAGCTGGGTCTTGAGGGAGATTGATTCCCAATTTTCTAAGAAAGTGCCATATTGATTTCCACAAGTTTGCATTCCCACCAACCAAAGGAGTGTTCCCCTTGCTCCACATCCTTTCCAACATAAGCTGTCTTCAGTGTTTTTTATATTAGCCATTCTGATGGGTGTAAGATGGTATCTCAGAGTCATTTTGATTTGCATTTCCCTGATGATTAAGGATGTTGAGCAATTCCTTAAATGTCTTTCAGCCATTTGAGCTTCTGTTGAGAATTTTCTGTTTAGCTCTATAGCCTATTTTTTAATTGGACTGTTGGGAATAGGAAGAAGCAGAGTGCTAGAGAGGGCCCCAGAAATCCACAAAGATACCTCCACTATAGACTACTGGCAATGGTTGAGAGAGTGCCTGGGCTGACCTACTATGGTGTTCAGTTGGCCAAACACCCTAATTGCCATGATAGAACTCTCATCTAGTGACTGATGGAAGCAGATGCAGAGATCCATGGCCAAGCCCCAGGTGGAGCTCCAGGAGTTCAATTGATGAGAGAGAGGAGGGGTTATATGAACAAGAGATATCGAGAGCATGATTGGAAAAAGCATAGGAAAAAATAGCCAAACTAGCAGAAACACATGAACTGTGAACCAATAGCTGAGGAGCCCCAGTGGAACTGGACCAGGCCCTAGGAATAAGTGAGACAGATGATGAACTTGAACTGTTTAGGAGGCCTCCAGGCAGTGGGACTGGGACCTGTCCTTGGTGCATGAGCTGCCTTTTTGGAACCTAGTGCCTATGCTGAGACACTTTTCTCAGCCTTGGTGCAGGGAAGAGAGGACTGGACCTGCCTCAACTGAATCTACCAGGCTGGGCTGACTCCCCAGGGTGGACCTTGCCCTGGAGGAGGTGGGAATGGGGGATGGTTGGGGGGGGAGGAGGGAGGACAGGGAAATCTGTGGCTGATATGTAAAATTAAATTAATTATAAAATAAAAATATTTTAAAAATAAATAAATAAAAATATGGGCAGAATATTTCAGAGTTTTTGGAAATGATGAAAAGGCCTAAACTTCAAATTATGGCATAGAAGAAGATAATAGTGAAGGCATGGAGAATATTTTCAATAAAATCATAGAAGAAAATTTCTCAAATGTAGATAAATAGATGCCCATGCAGGCATACAGAACACCAAATAGGTCCAGCATTGGCACTCTCTACAATGTATTATAGTTTAAAAAATAAAAGACACAGAATAATGAAAGGGTATTAAAAGTTGCAAGAGATAAAATTCATAGCATTTATAAAAACAGGCTTATCAGAATAACACTAGACTATTGAACAAAATCCTATAAAGCTAGAGGGGTCTGAAGGATTTGTTCCAAATTATAAAAGATCACAACTGTCAAACTGGATCACCCTACCCAGCAAAACAATCCTTTAAAATTGAAGAACAAATAAAATCTTCCCATGATTAAAACAGATGAAAAATAATGATTGCTAAGCCTATAATGCTGAAATCAATACTTCAATCAGCAGAGAAAGATAACCACCTCAAATACATTTTAAGAAATACATAATATAAAGCATTGAACAAATGAATAATGAAACACACAAAAAAGCAAACAACAGCAGGAAAGAATGTGGGTAAAGATAACTAACACTACAGACTTTTGAAGAAAATAGAAACCTAGTACTTCGGGAGATTCTTAAAACATACACAAGACAGCAGGAACTGACCTACTCTGGTGATGGGATGGCCAGACACCCTGTTAGTTGTGCCATAAACCCCATCCAAGGAAGGTCTGAGGAATCTGGATGCCGACATCCATGGCTGGGCCCCTGGTGGAGCACTGGGATTCTAATTAGTGAGAAAGAAGAGGGTTTATATGAGCGAGAATTGTTGAAGCCAAGGTTGGATAAAGCACAGGGACAAATAACCAAATGAATGGAAGCACAGGCTGAGGGGCCCCCAACTGGATCAGGCCCCCTGAACGGGTGAGACAGGCATTTGGCTTGATCTGTTTGGGAGGCAGCTGTGCATTGGTGCCAGGTCCTGGGCTCGTTGCATGAGTTGGCTGTTTGAATCCTGGGACCTATGCAGGGACGCTTGGCTCGGTCTGGGAGGGGGGGACTGGACCTGGCTGGACTGAGTCTACCAGGTCGATCCCGGTCCTCGGGGGAGACCTTGATCTGGAGGAGGTGGGAATGAGAGGTGGGGTGGGGGGAGGGGGAGGTGGACGAGAGTGGGAGAACAGGGGAATCTGTGGCTATTATGTTGAACTAAATGATGTTGTAAAATAAATTTACTAAAAAAAAAAAAAAAACCTATATATGGGTATAGAGTAAGTTATTTAAATGGCCTCTATTGCTAGAGAGTTGTTTCCATACAATCAGAGTCTATAAATTTTACCAAAGCAATATGTCACTGAAAAAAAATATAACCTGCTCAGTCTAAAAAAAAAAAAAAAGATTTTAAAAGGAGTTAACACATACTAAATTTCTCTGGTGAGAGTATTTACAAGACACAACAAAGCTGTTGTACACATGAAACCAAAGAGGCTGTAATTACATGCATAACATCTGAAAGAAGTAATCCATTCATTCTCCCAATCTGGATGAAGGAGGACATCATGAAGTTCCATCCTTAACTGAGGAACCACTGGCAACAGATGGATACTGTGGGAAGAAGAGAGAGCTAGTTACCTTTAGGTATACTAAAGGCCTCTGTAAGACTAAGCATGCCCCAGAACATGGTCATTAACACATGTACACATATACAACACTAAGTGTGCTCCATGTGTTGTTAAACAGAGCATATGAAAGTAGGAGAAATATGTCATAGGGGTGATAAAGGAGAAATTAGAAGGCATGGATGTGATCAAACACATATGCATGTATAAAATTAGCAAATAGATAGTCATACTTACACTTGAACAGAAACAACAAAAGTAATGAAATAATTCATAAAATACTTAAAACATTCATCAGATTAAAATACTGATTTGCTCAAAATTGTTTTGTCATTTTCTTTTTCATATATAAAAATGTTCTTTGAAAATTTCTCAAATGTAGATAAATAGATGCCCATGCAGGCATACAGAACACTATATATATATATATATATATATATATATATATATATATATATATATATTAATCCTCCCCCATCTGTCTCTGAATTCTTATCCCTACTATGGGTGGGATTGTAGATGTAACCAACCATCTTATTAAATAAGAAACACAGAACCAATGTAAAAGAGAAAGCCAAGAGGTCAGAGCTCAGAGCTAAAATCTCACCCTTCCTCCTGCGGTGGTCCTAGCTCTCTGAAAAAAAGCTATTTCCTGTCTGTATGTCTTTAAATAATCTTTGTGTTCTGCCTCCTCATTGGTTGTAAACCCAAACACATGACTGCCTCGTCACTGCCTGTAAGTACAGCCCTCTAGGTCTTAAAGGCTTATGTCTCTAATGCTGGCGGTATCCCTGAACACACAGAGATCTATGGGATTAAAGGCGTACTCCACCACCGCCATGCTCTTTCTATGGCTCTAATAGCTCTGACCCCCAGGCAACTTTATTTATTAACATACAATTAAAATCACATTTCAGTAAAAATAGAATACCACCATAAGGGATCTTTGCTCATCTTCAATTTCTACATTTTATTCTCTCAGAGCCTGTGACAATTTCTTCCTTTTTGGCTGTTCTTTAAGATATTATTATTATTTTCATATCCACTTCATTCTCTGACTTTAGTAAACATACAACTTATAAAAAAGTCAAAGCACAAAACAACCTCAGTAAATATGCAAAACAAAATAAAACTTGATAGGTAAGATGACGGTTCGGTTATAAAATAGTTGTTACAAAAAGAGCTAGAACTCACTAAGAAGCCAGAAGTGATGGTCAATGCCTATAACACAGTAATTTAAGTATTGGGGAGGTGAAGGCATGAGGGTGGGAGAACTCAGTGGCCAGTCAGTCTAGTCTCATTAATGAGCTCCAGGTTCAGTGACAGAATCTGGCTCAAAAATTCTGTAGAGGAAGAAAAGCAGACATCAAAACATTGACCTCTGGCTTCTGCATGTTTGCTTATATTCACATACACACATTACTTATATAGACTCTGTTCTTCAACAGTAAACATGCATTCATGTCATCTAACAGATAAGGTGAAAGGTAAAATTTTCCTTCAGTGTATTTAAGTATTTAAATTATTATTAGAAATAGCAATAAATCTTCTTGATTTCAATCTGACAACCGAAGAGGCTGGTCTGGGAAAGTTACTGTATGTTTCAGGCAAATCTATGTGAGAGTGCACCGTTTCTAAAAAATGGCAAAAGAGTTATGAATTCTCTACATGAAGCTTCTTAAAGAAGTGAAAACTTTAAGCATCCAGATCCAAATCAGAAACAAGATAATGTCGTCCACTCTTTACACTTGGATTCAATACAGTGCTTGATGTTTTAGATAAAGCAAGGAAGCAAGGCAAATAAATGTTTATGTAGAATGACAGGTAGTCTTTATTGTTAATTTCATAGGATCTGGGATCACTTAGGAGACAAGCTTCCAGAAACTCATGTGAGAAATTTTATTGATGAGGTCAGGCTCAAGAAAAGCTAGTGAGCACTTCTCTTCATTTATCTCATTGATGAGGCTGTGCTGAAATAAACCCTTCCCTACAAGACATGCTGTTTTCAAGAATCCTGTTGCAGCAATGAAACAAGGAATAGGTAAGATTGATACAAGAAGTGGGGCAATTGTTCTGATAAAAATAATGTGTGTTTGGACCTTTCAAATGGAATTGTGGCTTCAATATGGAAGAGTTTGGTATATTTTCCTAGAAAAGCCTTACCATATTGGAGGCAGTGTTTAATGGAACATTCTTGTGTTAGTTTAGACATCAGAATATAGAAAGAAATGTGGATCATGATAGACTGGCTTCTATAGTCATATAAAAACTCAGTCAGAAACTGTATTGGTATCCATTTGTGTGACACATTTTTCAAGAATCTGACTTCATAGTGCCTGTGTCCTGAGAACGTGAGTGAATTTGAAATTTAAGATGATAGTTTAGTTTATTCAGCAGAGGAAATTTCAGTACAGGGGAACATTGCATCTTTGCTATGGTTACTTTTTACTGTATCTGTTCATTTCCTAAGTATTTTTTTAAAAAGCACACTATGGGCAGAAAGATTATTTAAAAATATCCAGATTGCCAGGAGGGTGAGAAGAATTTGAGCAAGTTAAATTATTTGATAAGGTGTTTGTAGAAAAAAAGTCTCTCTTCCAAAGAAAAACTCTGCTCTGCACTAGAATAATAGAAAACAAATCCTGAAGGCAAAACCCCACCCATCAAAATGACCTGCCTCATGAAATGTGAATCTATCTGATAGGAGAGAACATGAACTGAGTGAGAATGTAGCTGAAGGAATCACTTTTTTTTTCATTCACATATTCTCTGTTATAGTTTTTTTTTATTTAAAAGTTTTTAATTTCCATTTTACATACCAACCACAGTTCTCCCTCCCTACCTTGCCTCCTCTTTCTCATCCCTTCATCTCTTCCATCACCCATTCCCCATCCACTCTTCAGAGAGGGTGAGGCCTCCACTGGAGAGTCAACAAAGTCTGTCATATTAAGTTGAGGCAGGACCAAGTCCCTCCCCACTGCATCAGGGCTGGTCAAGGTATCCCTCCATAGGAAATGGGCCACAAAACGCCAGTTTGTGCAGTAGGGGTAAATTCTGTTCCCACTCCTAGGGGCCCCACAAAGTGCCAAAGCCACACAAGTGTCACCCACATTCAGAGGACTTAGTTTGGTCCCATGCATGTTCCCCAGCTGTCACTTCAGAGTCTGTGAGCTCCCACTTGCCCAGATCACTTGTCTCTGTTGGTTTCCCCATCATGATCTTGACTCTCTTGCTCATATAATCCCTCTTCCCTCTCTTCAACTGGACTTCAGGAGCTTGGCCCAGTGTTTGGCTGTGAATCTCTGCATCTGCTTTCATCAGTTACTGGGTGAAGGTTTTATGATGATAATTAGGGTAGTGATCAACCTGATTACAAGGGAAGGCCAGTTCAGGCACCATCTCCACTATTGTTAGGAGTCTTAGCTGGGGTCATCCTTGTGGATTCCTGGGAATTTCCTAAGCACCAGGTTTCTCCCTAACCTCATAATGGCTCTCTCGATCAATGTATCTCTTACTTTGCTCTCCTTCTCTCCCTCTCCCAACTTGACCATCCCCTTACCTCATGTTCTCATCCCCGTCACTCCCTGCCCCCTGAACATACTCCCAGTTTACCCAGGAGATCCTATCTCTTCCACCTTCCGACAGTGATCCATACATGTCCCTCTTAGGATCCTTATTGTTAACTACCTTCTCTGGAGTTGTGGAGTACAAACTTGTACAGCCACTTTAGAAATCACTACAGTGGTTTCTCAGAAAATGGAGAATCAATCTTCTCAATACCCAACAATACCACTCTTGGGCATATACCCAAAGAATGCACAATCATACTACAAGGACACTTGCTCAACCATGTTCATAGCAGCATTTTTCATAATAACCAGAACCCAGAAACAACCTAGATGCTCCTCAACATAATAATGGATAAAGAAAATGTGGTATATTTGCACAATGGAGTATTATTCAATGGTAAAAAACAATGATATCCTGAATTTTTTAGGCAAATGGATGGAACTAGAAAAAAAAAAAAAAAAAAAAAAAAAAACATCCTGAATGAGGTAACCCAGACCCAGAAAGAGAAATATGGTATGTGCTCACTCATGAGTAGATATTAGATGTGAAGTAAAGGATAACCAGGAATCACTTTTCTAAGAAATTACTGCCTATGAACATTCACAAGGGTAGCATACAGAAGATTTCAAACTCTAGAAAAGGGGTATAAGGGTGTATTTCAAGCTGGTAGAAAACATTGAAAGTATTGCCAACATGGTACTGATTTTTGTATGCATGATGACTGAAATAGAATTCCTATTGTATTGTACATGTCAGAGCAAAGAGACATTACTGACAGGGTAGGAGATAATATTTTTAGAACCCAGATGATCATCACATTTTCCAGATACCTCAAGATATGGATACCCAGGATTTTGTGCTTATTCTGCTAAGTTTTTGTTTTGTCTGGTGATCTCTTCCCTTGCTGTGTCCCCTTTGGAATGGGAAGATAGGCTCTATGCCATTGTATGTTTGAAATATATGACATATTTTATTTCACAGAGCTCAAAACTAAGAGGTCCTGTGAGAAGTCCTTTCTACTGGATAGTTGTTTCAGAAGGCACTATGTGGGTTTTAAGAGAAGAGACATCCAATGTCATCCCTAGCCTTGGATTATAAGTGCTACAACACGGAGGTGTCAAGGAGGCTATGCCTGTTGGTGCAATAGTGTCATAACTATTTGGAGGGTCATCAATTGCTACAAGATTGGATTTGAATCATGTGCTGTAAGAAGCAATACAAATTTTTAATGGAAAGTTTGTCAAATACCTTTTGAAGTCATGGGCCCTTATGGAGAAACTTCTACTATTCCTCTAAATGAACAAGGTATCAAAATGCATTCTAAATATTCATATTTATGTCTCACAACCATTTTCAGTATTTGACAGAGAAGCCTTTTTTGTGGGGGTTAATGCCGAGATTTTCCACTATGTACTGAGAATAAGTGTTCAGTAATCATCTCTAAATGGGACAGCTATTTCAACACTCTATAGATCAAGAAATAGCTCAAAATAGAGGACAACACAGAATATAAGACCTAGGGGGTGGGGAGGCATACTATGATACATTGTCTGCTAGGTGTGATATGGCCATTTTAATCCTTAACACGCATCAGGCTGTGATTACCTGTACAACACTGGCACAAGATTAGTCCTTCAAAATTCTGTTAGGAATAGGGGAAGGATCCATGAATTTCCACCCATGCTGAATTTAAAGGTTGTTATTAAAGACAGCTATGTGTGTGTAGCTACCAGTAAGTTTCCAATGATCCAAGAATAACTTTCTATTCATGCTCATATGAGCAACCACAAATAACTCATTGGTCAATGAAGACATATAAATATAAGAGGGGATTACTTGAAGGAGATCTATAAGACGGGAAGAAGAGACAGTTATGTGGTCGATATGATCATAATACGTGTGAACACATATGAATTGTCAAAATTAATAAAAATAAAACAAAAATGCTGCTACCTGGGATGAAGGGTTTACTGCTGCTTGTTCAGAGAAGAATTGACAGGACCATTGTATTACAAGAAAGCATCAGCAAAGGTCAGTTTGGAGAAGTTTGGCGAGACAAAGGTGGGAAGAAATTGCTGTGAAGATATTCTCTTCTAGGGAAGAACATTCATGGTTCTGAGAGACAGACATTTATCAGACTGTGATTTCTCCAAACCACAGAGGAGGCACGCACACACACACACACACACACACACACACACACACACACACACACACACACAAAATTCTAAAGGGAACCATGACGATGCCTAACAGCAACTTTGAAATCTTCAAAATAATGATAGGACCCCACAAAGATGATTCTACATGGACTATGGTAAAAACATTAAGCTGATTAACACCATGGAAAGATTGACTTTGGAGTACAAACTGCTCAGGACAATTTCAAGATGGCTAGCTGAGACGATCCAGATTCATAGACTACTCGAGCAAGGACATGAGACAAGCCCTACATTTTCCCATTATGCAGAAACTAGACAAATGATATAACTAGCTCTCTCAGGACTTGACAGGTAACCCAAAAATTTTCTTTTCAGAATTCCCTAAAGATGTTTTCCCCCCGACTTATGGATAATTGTCATTGTTTATGATGGTTGGTTACAAGTTGTTAATTGTTAATGGTCAGGAAAAAAAGCTGAGCAAGGAGATTAGATTCAGAGTTTTTGTTTGAAAAAAAAAAGAAAAAGACAAAAGAGAATATAGATATGAGGTAGATCATTGAATCTACTCTGAGAAAAAAATAAAGAAATAATAGGATAAATGGGTAGATCATTGAATCTACTATAAAAAGAAATAGGGGAAGATATAAAAATGACAAAAGGTAGATTATTGACTCTATTATGAAAAGAAAAAGAGAGAATGTGGATATAATATAAAAAGGGAGGTTATTGAATTTACTTTTAAAAAGGAACTACTTCTTTTAAATAGGATAAGTAATGAAAATTTGTGTCTGAATCTGTCAAATGTTAATGAACTAGACATTGTTAATGTAATTCTTGACTGTATATATTGTATATACTTATTGAATATAGTTTTTCTTGTATTAGTTATAAGCTTTTTTAAATTTTAGACAAGAAAGGGAAAATGTGGTGATATTGTGTTCCCCAAAATATTGTGCACCCTAATAAACTTATCTGGGGTCAGAGAACAGAACAGCCACTAGACATAGAGGCCAGAAAATGGTGGCACACATGCCTTTAATCCTTAGCATTCCAGAGGCAGAGATCCATCTGGATCTCTGTGAGTTCAAAGCCACACTGGAGACAGCCAGGCATGGTGACTCACACCTTTAATCCCAGGAAGTGATGGCAGAAAGCAGAAAGGTATATAAGGCCTGAGGACCAGGAACTAGAGTTGGTTAAGCTTTTAGGATTTTGAGCAAGAGTTCAGCTGAGATTCATTTTGGGTGAGGACTGAGAGGCTTCCAGTCTGAGAAAACAGGATCAACTGAGGAATTGGCAAGGTGAGGTGGCTGTGGCTTGTTCTGCTTCTCTGATCTTCCAGCATTCACTCCAATACCTGGTTTCAGGTTTGATTTTATTAATAAGAACTTTTAAGATTCCTGTTACACCAATCCTCCTCTGTTTCCCTTCAGAAAACAGCAGGCATCCCAGTGATATTAACTGAACATGGCATAACAAGATGCAATAAGACTAGTCATAACTAGTCATATCGAGTCTAGATGAAGCAACCCAGTAGGAGGTAAAATATGCCACGAGCAGGCAAAAGTATCATAGACATCCCCACTCCCATTGTTAGGAGTCCAACAAAAACCCCAAGCTAAACAACCACAGCATGTATGCAGAGCCTAACATCCCATGCAGGCTCTGTGGTTGCCACTTCAGTTTCTGTGAGCACCTTTGAGCCCTACTTAGTTGATTCTGTGGGCTGTGTTTTCCTGGTGTCCTTGACTCCTCTGGATCACACAATCCTTTTTACTCCCACTCTTCTGTGGGGTTTGTCTGGCTGTGAGTCTCTATTTATTTCCATCAGCTGTTGGAGGAAGCTGATAACAATTGGACTAGGCACTAATTCTATCAGTGTAGCAGAATATCATTAGGAACCCTTTCATTGACTTTTTTTTTTCAACCATATTTGCTTCTACCCTAGGTTTCAGAATCATCCAGCTTTCAGAACCTGACCATCTAGGCAGTATGGGGCATGGGTTCCCTGTCATAGTATGGGCCTCAAGTTAGACCAGTCATTGAATGGCCACTCCCACAAGTTCTGAACCATATTGCCTCAGAGCATCTTTTAGGCAGGATAGGTTGTGGCTGTGGTTACTGAAGATGGCCAGTTCAGGCTCCATATCCTTCAGGACTAGGAATCTTTGCTAAGGTCATTGAATTCAGGACCACGAGCCCAGGGATAGCACTACCTACACTCAATTGGGCTGGGTCCTCGCTCATCACTCACTAATTAAGAAAATGCCCTACATGCTTGCCTATTGCCTGATCTTATGGAGACATTTTCTTAACTGAGTTATTACTCTTTAAGATAACGCTAGCTTGTATCAAGTTGACATAAAACTATCCAGCACAGTAAGCAACTTGAGTAATATATGACAATGAACCAAAAATAGTAATTATTAATATGTTCAAAGAACTCAAAAAGAATACAAATAAATGCCAAAAAGGAACCTAAGAAAACATGAAGAGTTGAGAGAAATAAGGAAAACAGTTCAGGATATGAATATAGAATTCAGTAATGCAATAGAAATTCCGAAGAAAACACAAACTGAAATAAAACTTGAAGTAAAAGGTCAGTAGGTCTAACTTAATGACCAAAGTAACCCATTTTGGAATGTAAAAGATTTATCTTAATTTTAGAAATCAGAAAAATGAGATTTAGAAAATTTAATAACTTCCCTAATCCCTCCTATCAGACTGTTTTGGAGCCAAGATAATCCACTGAAGGTTTTGTTCTGTTTTTCCCACAGTTTTTGTAATGAAATACTCCAGAGATAAAGCAACATTGAAGTGTTAATATAGTGGATATACACTGATCACATTTAGCTGTTGTAAAAAAAAAGTTATGTGGTCAATATGATCATAATACGTGTGAACACATATGATATTGTCAAAATTAATAAAAATAAAACAAAAATTTCTTAGAGACAATAAAATATTTCTATTATTACTATTGCTTATATTTATAAAATAATCATATGTATGTATATATGTATGATATTTTTGCTTTAAAGAAAAACTTATTTTTCCCAAAACAGTGAACATTTTCCTGAGAGATTGATTAAAAAATTCCTTGTGACAGAAGTAATTCTTGTTAAAAACTACCCAGAGACACTGTATTCCATCCATTATAAAATTTTTATATTGTTTGAAAAAGATGGTATACAAAAGCCTAAGAAAACACAATATTAATGAAATTTTTTTAAAAATATACAACTAAGATTGGATGAACATAAAAGGATTATGAATACTGTTATAAATGTAAGCATGCAAAAAAAGTGTGTCTTAGAATCCCATGAGAAGAGGCATTTATAAACCCCAAGGGAACTAAGAATCACTCACAAATTCATGATGTCTTGAGGAAACATTTTTAAGTTCTGCATACAGTGATGAAAGAGTTTTGGTTCCTTCATTTAGGTTTTGCACATCAGTCATGATGAACGCAGCATCTGAGAAGCAGAGGTGATGTTCTCCTCTCACAGAGGGAGCTGTTCTCTTGCTCTCACTTAGATGTGGGTGGAAGAGATGGAAACAACAGAGAATTTTAGTCAAGACTGATGGACACTGTACCAGAGAGAATACAAAACATATATCTTCATAGTATTTCCAGAACTGATATAAGGTGAGACTCATAGGGCCCACCTTTGTATTTTTAGATATAATTCCAACTTGAGATATTGATTTAAATCTTTGATATTGTTGACAGGTTACTCTTTAATAGAACCATGGGGTTTTCACTACATAACTACCTGTTCTTGAGAGATTTGCATAAATTCTGATACTCAGATTCCTTAAATTCATCATTATGTGACCAAAGTCAATGGTTCCAGTAACAAATAAAACTACATGAGGAGCCAAGAGAACAACACTTCAACATTAATAATTGCTCAAATGTCCACAGTGCTCAAATAGCACTTGCTGGGGGATAACCTCCTTTCTTCCTTCTTTGTTTCCTTTCTTCCTTGGTCCCTTTCTTAATTCCCTTCTTCCCTTCATCCCCCTTCCAATACTGTTTTATTTTTCTAAATATGTGGTCATTTATGTACAAGTACATATAAAATATGATGTTTAGTTTGAAAGATTATATGCTCTGTGGTTTTATATAGTTTTTTTTTTTTTTTTAAACTAGGAACATAGTGAATGGGAGTACTGCTATAACTCAGATTTTTTTTTTTTTGGCTTTTCGAGACAGGGTTTCTCTGTGTAGTTTTGCGCCTTTCCTGGAGCTCACTTGGTAGCCCAGGCTGGCCTCGAACTCACAGCGATCCGCCTGGCTCTGCCTCCCGAGTGCTGGGATTAAAGGCGTGCACCACCACCGCCCGGCATTATAACTCAGATTTTTATTGAGATCATTTCCACAAATGCACAATAACACATGCTATAAAGAAGGACTTGATGTCAGAAAGTGAGACCGTGTCCAACTAAGTTTCAATATGCATAAGGTTTCTACCTCAGAACTTTCCAGAAAACTTGAGTGGTTGACGCTCTGAACTTCATCAGTGTTGGTAACCCTGGCATGGCCTGTCTTTTAAGATGAGTTGAATTGCCAAGACATCCAAGAAATTTCAGAAACCCATCAGGAACAACAGGAATGGGACAAAGAAAAATCCCTTCCCCTACATACCAGATATAAAAGATAAGTAAATTTGAGACATTTAGGGAATGTAGCAGAGCAGCACTGAACAGAGAGAGAAATGTTTAAAAATCTGAAAAGCATGTTTCACAGAGTTATGGAGAGGAGTTTGCTTAGCTTCAAACACAAGAAATAAATCTTTTATTGGCATATAATAATCTTAGATAAATACTATGATATATTTGTGGAACTTATCATTGAGGCAATTTCAAATGGGTTTTAATTTATTAATGCCTTTAAATGTCAGTATTTATTCATTTGAAACATATTTTAAAGTAATTACTTATAATGATTACCATTCTGCTCATACATTTGATAGTTTTGAGTGGTCTGTATATTTCACGGTTAACAATGAATGTTTGTTATTTATAGATACATTGGTGCTATAATTAGCTTTCCTGAAAAAATGAATAGAAAGGAAATAGTAGGTTGTGTGGCTGGTAGAGCTGCAGAGAACCCTTCCCAACATCACTGTTCAGGAAATGGTTCAGTGCCCATAGTTCTTGCTCTGAGGGTTCCTGAGCAAAGTCAGGACTAGGTATAGAATTTTCAAATGCATGACTATTAGAGAAAAGAAGGTGATGAAATGTCTCAGAAGAAATACAAAGAAAATGTGTTAGTTCACACATGAGAATATGGGTCTGAAATCAAAGAACATTTGAAATGAGAAAGGGTTGAGTCAATGGTAAGGTCATTCATAGAAAGATTATAGTGAAAAACAACATGATGCTGTGTTACATAACCCATTACTTCCATTTTTGTTAATGTGGTGGGTGATTTGTAAAGCTCACACATCTTTGTCATCATTTTAAGGAAAACTGTTTTGTGGGCTTTAGTTGATGTTTAATTTTAATTAATTTTATTTTATTTTTTATTTTATAATTTAATTTAATTTTACATATCAGCCACAGATTCCATGTTCTCCCACCTCGTGCCCCCCCAGCCTTCTCCCCAGCCCACCCTCCATTCCCATCTCCTCCTGGATAAGTGAGACAGTTGATTAGCTTGATCTGTTTGGGAGGCATCCAGGCAGTGGGATTGGGACCTGTCCTCAGTGCATGAGTTGGCTGTTTGGAACCTGGGCCTTATACAGGGACACTTGGCTCATCCTGGGAGGAGGGTACTGGACCTGCATGGACTGAATCAACCAGGTTAAGTAATTTTTTAATGGTAAAATATTTATAACAAAAGAAGTGTATCATATTTACTGTTCCCTTCTAAACTCTGTATTGTATTAACTCCTAAAAATGGACACTCAATTTTTGCCTGCTTTTATCACTTAACAAACTACTAAAATGCTTTATCTTTCATATTTTAGTCTTTTATTTATACTAGCATAAGGTAGTGATTTGTTAGGTTCTTATATTCACATTATATTCCTTATTAATTTTTCCATATTCCTTACTCTTCAGTATTTTTGACAGAATTAAATTATTTGACAGTGTAGTATTTTATTGTAAAATTTCCTTATCTCATTTCATTTTACCATTTGGGAACTGGAATACTATTTCAGAACTATAAATAGGATTCTGGAATAATTTCCAATATGTTTTCTAAATATATTGTATGAGTAAATCTCATTGTAACTGAAATACTTTACAATATGATTATAAGAAAAACATTTTTTGATGTATTCAATATTTAACCCTAGTGTGGTTGTTTAGGCACTGCTTAAGATAATGTTGACATCAATAGTCCCAAGTTACTTTTGAATTATGGTTTCTAGAATGTGATTAAAACCCATGAACTCAGCAGGGCGAGGCGGCACAAGAATGTGACACCATGACCCTGAAGTGGAGACTGGTGATGTTGTGTACAACCTGGCTGCAACAAACCTTGTCAAACCCATTTATTTCCATGAGCCATAAATCCTGAAATCTGGTAGTCTATTCAGTCACATAGCTATTCACACATAAAGCTGTTTTGTTAGCTTTTAAAAAGTATATTTTGTTCATTATTTGAGAATTTCATGTGTATAATGTATTTTTTTAATCTATCAGCTTCCAATTCCTCCTGTATCCTTACATAGCTGGGTAAAAACAGCATTTAGATTTCTACTTAACATTGTATTTACTCTTATTTTAGATTAACACAAGTAAGTAGGACAGAAGGTTTCAGGTTATTACTCATTATTTCAGTTGGCATTGTTACAGTATTTTAATAAGAGTTTATTTGGCAAGATTATGAAATAAGCAAGGATATATTAGTGTTAATTAAACAAGAGATTTTATACATTTTAGCTCAATTTTCAACTATTAGTCTTTTATTTTGTAGAATTAAATTTAGGCTACAGCTTCTGTTTAGGATTATTATATTCTAGATGATATAAAATCATAATTCCCAATGATAAACCATAGGGACTACAGTGTGCTATCCATTATTGACTTTGTAACAAAAACTTTAGAGTTGCTTTCTATAGAATGACAACCTGGGTGATTTTAGTAATGATAAAAGGTTAAGCTAACATTTACTTAATTTTTAGGTTATCATTGGCCTTTGTTTCTCTTGGAAGCGCACACTCAGTTTTGTTGATATCTTTTGTTTTATTTCTTTTTCATTTGTTTGTCTTTTGTAGTAGAAGGCTGTTGAAACATGAGTGTCTATGAGTGAGGACAAGAACTTAACATTTCACCACTGATTAAGAACAAATGTCTGTTCTATGTTTTCACACCTTTATATTCTACCATAACCTATAAAACCTAGTATTTTTACATTGTGAATAAATATAAAGAAAAACACTTAGCAGTTTTGGCTATGAAAAAGCAAGAATTAGATATAATTTTCCCTGATCTGCATTATTGTCTCAATTCACTCTTTCCATGGTGCAACATCTCTTCCTACATTTTGGCTTATGTATTATTTTCATACGATTTTCAAAAAAGAACTTTGAATGTCCCTAGACTTACTAAATTTTAGGAACAACATTTAACCAGACACATCCTATACAGAAAGGTGAAGATGTAGATCTAAGAAAAAAAATTAATAATCTGGAGGAATTTCACTTTTATTTCCATGTATTGTCATGGTAAGACATTCTGAGTTTCATTTGGATATTTCATGGAAGAACTCCATGCCCAGTGATTTCCTTATTCATAGCAGTTCTTTATCCACCCTGATTGAGCACAGAATGACAACTGGTAATTTACAGGATGATCATCTTTCTCTATTTTGAAAGGTTACTGCCTAATCCAATGACACAGTGACCATGTAGGGTTTTTTTTAATTAATTTTTTTCTTTGTAACTTATACTTGGAAACAGAGCTCTTATTATAGATACTAGTGAAGAATCACCCTAGGAACATCATGAAGTGTTTTTTTTTTTTTCCCAAAGTGCTTGTATGCAAATTTCTTCTTCTGCTTCTTCCTTTTCCTCTTCTCCTCTTCCTTCTTCTCCTTCTTTTTCTACTGATCCTTTTCCTCCTCCTCCTCCTCCCCCTCCTCCTCCTCCTCCTTCTTCTTCCTCTTTTTCTTCCATAATTGCAATTGTACGTGCTCATTTTAAATACCAGTCGTTAAAGTCACCACTTTCCTTCTACTCTGTATAAATACATTAGTATCTTACTCACACATATATATTAACAGATATGTAAATACATGTTTATATATATATGCATGTATATTCATACAAACCTCATAGAAAAGTATATTTAGTAAAACATTCTTGTTTTATTTAGGAAAATATTGAAATACATTTAAAGCCATGACTTCCTGGGGAAATTATGTTCAAGAGCTGGAATATTTGTCTACATGATCCACATGAAGCAGCTGAGTTTACAAGTGAGTAGATTACTCCTAGCATTGTAAGGGCAATACTATGAGTAACATTTTAACATTGTCAAATTTATTTCCCCTATTATTCATTAGAGATGAGTAAGTAATATGTTTATGAACATGTTTTATAATAAATTTATATGAATGTCACAGTATTTTTGTAGAGTTATATTTTTTTCAAACAAAGTCAAATTGCATAAATATTTTATAAGTAATTAAAATCTCAGAAATCTAAAATATATTCAAAATTAATTTCTCCTCTTTAGCTATATAATTTTCATACAGGTGATTTATTGATCATCTTTTAATGCTCAATCATTTACCTTGGTACTTTTATTAAAATGCATAATTCACACATGACAATGGAATAATATGTGATACCTTTATAGACAGAGGGAGACTACAAAGACCATATATACTCTGAAATTCTCATTATTTAATTAAAAAATCTCAGTCTTTACCTTGTTAATTCTCAGGAGATGTCATGGACGTGGACCTAGAGTTTCTTAAAATCCAAGTTTAAACATCTTGTTTCCTTGAACTTAAAACTGTAGTTAAAATTTTACTTTGTCACATATTTGACTAGGAGGCCTAGTTCTGCCCAGGCTCAGTTTTGACTCTATTTAGTCATTATAGACAACAACATCATTTTTGTAAGTTTTGTACTCACTGTTAATTGATGGATTCAAATGAAGTTTCAGCAAGTTTTACATTAGCATCATGTTAATGGAAGTTACTCTACACAAAATTTTCTGTGTTATGAAAAACATGACTTGATTTGAATTCTAGTACACATTGTGCTTTGAAACTAAACTCAAAATGTTGTCATGGATTTCAAATACACTTTATCTCTTCTTCTATTGGTAGATGGTGCTTCAATTCATCACTGCAGATGACTCAGCCATATCTTATTCAATGCAGATGGCAAAACGTGACTAATAAATTGTAGTCTTTGGTTGATTGTTAAGGTATGATTTCCCACTTTTGCAAAAAGCTTTCTACTACTCTGTTCTGAATGGTAATAAAATCAATCAAGATAATTTTACCTAAATATGCACCATATTATTGATGCTTTATTGTAAATTGTAAGAAATATTTTTTTTATAATTACAGATTTCATATAATTTTCTTTAAAAGTCCTCAGGGGAATCATGTATAACCAGAGCTTTGTCAATGAGTTTATACTCCTGGGGCTTTCACAGAACCCCCAAATTGAGAAAATATCATTTGTTATATTTTTATTGGTCTATCTTGCAACTCTTGTGGGTAATGTGATGATTGTGGTGACCATTGTCTACAGCCCTGCACTGCTAGGCTGCCCTATGTACTTCTTCTTGGCATTCCTCTCCTTCCTCGATGCATGTGTCTCTTCTGCTGTCACACCAAAGATGATTGTAGATTTGGTTTATGAGAGGAAGACCATCTCTTTTGAGTGTTGCATGACACAGCTCTTTGCTGTGCACTTTTTTGCTGCAATGGAAGTCATCATTCTGGCAGCCATGGCCTATGACCGCTATGTGGCCATTTGCAAGCCCTTACACTACTCTTTCATCATGAACAGGAGGCTCTGTGGTACTCTGGTAGGGGTGGCCTGGGCTGGAGGATTCTTACATTCTATCATACAAATTGCCTTCACTTTGCAATTGCCCTTCTGTGGACCCAATGTCATTGATCATTTCATATGCGACTTGTTCCCATTGCTGAAGCTTGCCTGCACTGACACACACATTTTTGCCATTTTGGTATTTGCCAACAGTGGGTCTTTCTGCATCATCATATTCGCCTTTTTGCTTGTTTCTTATGGTGTCATTTTGTTCTCTCTGAGAGGTCACAGCTCTGAAGGGAGACGTAAGGCTCTATCCACCTGTGGATCCCATATTACTGTTGTAGCTTTTTACTTTATTCCTTGCATATTAATATATGCACGACCTACATCTCCATTCTCTTTTGAGAAAAATGTGTTTGTATTTACAGATGTCTTGACACCATTGCTCAATCCTATGGTTTATACTTTCAGGAATAAGGAAATGATAAATGCCATCAGGAAAATGAGGAGGAGGCTGATAGTGGTTTCTGATAAATAATAAAATATTTTACTTACATGACTGAGGAGATGGCTCAGTGGATAAAGGTACTTGCTTTATAATAATGAGGACCTTTGTTTAGATCCTTAGCAGTCATGTCCAAAGTCAGACACGGTAAATCATCTTTTACCCACTGTTGCTGAATCAGAACCAGACAGGTCCCATGGATGAACTGAACAACAGATCGAATCTCTGAATAACACACCTAGATCAAGCCTCAGTCACTACACTTTCTCAAGGATATGAGGTAGAGAGTGATAGAAAACAATGTTCAATGTCTCCTTAATGCTTTTCAGGCATGTACATTGGTACCAGCATTTCCTACATGTTCTCATACGTTAAACACATACATGCATCCAATAAACTTCTACAAACAAATCAAATAATACACTTCATAAGCTTAATGTAAAGAATAGAAAATCCACACTTACTTATGCAAGCTCTTTGTAATTACACATATTAAAATATACACCTCTATTCTATAGAGAACACATTAACACTGTATATGAGAAATCTATTTGTGAGATCACACTTTTGCTATGCACTGAATACTCAGATGATCATATACAAGTTAAAGTCAGTTTCAATGAACATATACATTTTGAATTGACATCCAGAAATGATGCAGTGAAGCTTCACAATAAATTTTTAGTATTCATATTGAATGTATTTTATGCACTTTCCCATCAATAAAAACAAAATGTCCATGACAGAATTAGAACTAAAAAAACAACAACACAAACATAATTATACAGTTTTTCATAACTCATGAGTTGTATTGATTTGGAATCTGCTTGATTATGGAGTGGGATGCTTTTATGTTTTTCAAATATTTTTGAAAAAATAAAGTCTTAAGAAATAAGAAGAAAATTAAAGTCAGTTGGACCCTATATTCTTAAAATCTAAGGAATTATGCAAAGGGATTTATATATTACAATACCTTTTTAAAAAATAGTCTTGAAATTGTGAAGAGAAGCTGGGTTTTGTTGGCACACACCTTTAATACCATTACTTGGGAGGCAGAGGCAGGCAGACCTCAGTGAGTTTGAGGCCAATCTGGCGTACAGAGTCAGTTCCAGGACAGCCAGGGCTACACAGAGAAACCCAATCTTGAAAAACCAACCAACCAAACAAACAAACAAATGAAAAACCCACTATAAATCAAAACAAACTGGGAGAGAAAATATGCTGAAAGTATCCCAGGGGAATATAGGTTTCTGAGTTTCTATAGATTCTATAAAATATTGATATTATAAAGATTAGAAATTCAGAGAGAGGAAAATAAATAAGAAATATTTTATTATGTATTTTTCAAATTTATTATGTAAAGATGAGATTTATTTTTCACATAGCATCTCAACATATATCCGTGACTGGCTATTTAGACCCAACTGGCATCAAACTCTCAGGATTTGTCTGCTATACTTTTGGAGTACAGGGATTAAACTTGTGCACAAACATGTTCGTAAGAGATGGGATTTTAAATCAATAGCCATTTGTGGGAAGCTGGATCTATTCTAGGAGGGATAACTCTCATGTCAAACACTATTGCATATATTCCCGTTTTTGTAAGTAGCTTTCTCTCTCTCTTTTGTTTTCCACATTTTTATCAAGAAATTTTCTACTCACCCTACATACCACTCACAGATACCACCTCCTCCCTCCTCTCACCTTCCAGCCCTCCCTCCCAAGCCACCTGCCCCCTTCCCCACATCCTCCAAATCAAAGTCTCTCATGGGGAGTCAGCAGAGCCCAGCACACAGAGCCAAGGCAGGTCCAAGCCCCTCCCCGCTGCACCAAGGCTGAGCAAGGTGCCACACCACAGGCAGCAGGCTCCCAAAGGCCTGCCCATGCACCAGGGATTGATCCCAATACCCCTGCTCGGATGTCCCCAAACAGTTTGAGCTAAACAACTGTCTCCCATATCCACAGGGTTTAGTCCAGTCCCGTGGGGGCTCCACAGGCACTAGTCCACATTTCATGGGTCTCCACCTCCGTGGCCAGTCATCTCTGCATGTCTTCCCATCATGATCTCAACATCCCTGACCAAAGAATCCCTCTTCTCTCCCATCCACTGGATTCCTGGAGCTCATACTGGATCCATGCATCTGCCTCCATCAGTCACTGAACAAAGTCTCTATTAGACTTCGTTCTATTGAGAGTTAGGGTATTCCGTAGACTGGTCACCAGAGTAGACCAGTCCAGGTACCCCCTTGATGACTGCCAACAGTCCAGGATGGGATCATCCTTGTGGATTCCTGAGAGCTTGCCCAGCAGCCTGCCTCTTCCTACTCCCATTATGTCTTCATCTATCATGATATCTCCTTCCCTGCTCTCCCATTCGGTCAACACTCCAGCTCAACCCTCCCATTTCCCTATGTTCTCACCCCCTATGCCTTGCCCTCCAACACCCTATGACCCCCAGCATGCTCATGCAGAACCCATTCACTTCTACTTCACTGGGCAATTTATGTGTCCATCGCAGGGCCCCTCCCTGTCAACTAGTCTCTCCAAAGATGTGTTCTGCACTCTGGCTATCTCTTGCCCTACATCTAGTATCCACTTATGAGTGAGTACATACCATGTTTATCCTTCTGGATCTGGGTTACCTCACTCAGCATGATATTTTCTAGTTCCATACATTTGCCTGTAAATTTTATGATATCATTATTTTTTACTGCTGAGTAGTACTCCATTGTGTATATGTGCCACATTTTTCTTTATACATTCTTCAGTTGAGGGACATCTAGGTTGTTTGCAGGTTCTGGCTATTACAAATAATGCTGATATGAACATAGTTGAGCAAGTGTCCTTGTGATAAGATTGAGCATTTCTTGGGTATATGCCCAAGAGTGGTACAGCTGGGTCTTGTGGAAATCCCAATTTTCTGAGAAACCGCCATACTGATTTCCAGAGTGGCTATATAAGTTTGCATTTCAACCAGCAGTGTAGGAGTGTTCCCCTTGCTACATATTCTCTCCAACATAAGCTCTCTTCAATGTTTTTGATCTTAGCCATTCTGACAGGTGTAAAATGGTATCTCAGAGTTGTTTTGATTTGCATTTCTCTGATGACCAAGGATGTTGAGCAATTCCTTAAATGTCTTTCAGCCATTTGAGATTCTTCTGTTGAGAATTTTCTGTTAAGCTCTGTTGCCCAATTATTAAATTGGATTGTTCAGTATTTCTGAAGTCTAGCTTTCTGAGTTCTTTATATATTTTGGAGATCAGCCCTCTGTCAGATGTGGGGTTGGTGAAGATCTTTTCCCATTCTGTAGGCTGTCGTTTTGACTTATTTAATATGTCATTTGCTCTACAAAAGCTTCAGGAGGTCCCATTTATTAATTGTTGTGCTCAGTGTCTGTGCTCTTGGTGTTATATTTAGGAAGTGGTCTCTTGTGCCAGTGAATTCAAGACTACTCCCTACTTTTTCATCTATCAAGTTCAGTGTAACTGGATTTATGTTGAGGTCTTTGATCCACTTGTATGGTGATATTTTATTTGTACTAAAATGTGAATTGTATGGTAGTAAATAAAGTTGCCCAGGGATCAGAGCTATTAGCAAACCATAGCAGAAACTGGGCGGTGATGGTACATGCCTTTAATCCCAGCACTTGGTAGGCAGAGCTAAGTAGATCTCTGTGTGTTCAAGGATACAGCCAGCATGAGACACATGCCTTTTATCTCAATACCAACCATAGAAGATCTGGAGGTCTGTACAGACAGGCAGTGACTAGGAGTTCATGTGCTGGGGAATGAGAAGGCAGAACAGAAACTCTATAAAAAAAGACAAACACACAGAGGAAGTAGGTCTCTTTTGGAAAGATAGGACTACAGCGACAGTGAAGGGTAAGGTTTTTAGCTCTTAGCTATTGCTCTGATCTCTAGGCTTTTATTTATGTGTTGGCTCTGTG